CCCCCTTTTTTTAATTTTTGTTTTATTTTTTTTTTTCAATTTTTTTTACGGGCTGCGGGTTAACCGCGGCCCGTGGGGGTGCAACCCGCGAAGCCCGCGGGTTACACCTTCTTGGCCCGTGAACCACCCACACAGGCCACGGGTCGGCCCGCGGTCCCAGTTTTCACGGGCCGGTTTTTACGGGTCATAGTCGGCCCGTCCGTCTTGACACCTCTACTTCAACTGGCATTATCCCATTCTCTTTAAAGAAATAACAGCACCAAACTCAGCAGTCAGCAGCACAGCGAAAGTTTCATGATAGATTCTTCTGATACTGATCTCTTCTAATCATTGTATGGCAGTAATAGGGGGTCGCAGCTGATTATTTTTTTCATCAAAATCCCCTATGCACTTACGCCAATAAAAATAAATAAATAAATGAAAAGCTGAACTAAAATTAAAACTGGTGAAGCCTGCCAAGTTGCCAATGTTAAGGAACTGAACTTCTGCAGCTTATTAGCAAGAAATGGAGTAAATTAGATTTGTAGATTTACAATTACTAAATTTGAAATTGACTGTCAATCAGATTAATATTTTTTAGGAATTAAATATCAATTTGAATAAAAATCTGTTAGGCGTTAGCTCACCATTGTTTTCTTGTGGTGTGGAACTTTTATGTGAACTTTTATTTCTTTTCAGTTAAGCGAGATGCTATTGCACACATCCAACTCTTCAGTTGCTGGACTTCTAAGCAACCTTCGCAGCCATAGTATGTAATTGTTTCTTTAACTCATAAAGAAGTCTTTTATTAATGTCAAGTTATTTATGAATTTCATCTTCGTCTATTATATTCATAACCCATAAAGTTAATGATAGAATCTGCTCAAGGAAACAATGATTTTATCCTCAGCACGGCAATTGATCTATAAAAAGCATAGATGGTAAAGGAAAAACAAGTGTTTAAAGAGAATTGGATCTATATTTCATATACTGAAGCAATTACGGAAGGAAATGAATATAAATGACAGTAGAAATGGCAGGTTTCGAGAGCTGCCCCTCTCCCTGAAGATTCAGAGATTTTTTCACCGCTTGAATGAATATTTGAATATGTTTCCCCCTTTTTATTCCCTCCTAGCAACCCTGACATTAGCATAACTAACTCCCTCATAAGAGCCAACAGTCCCTATTAGTTATAACAAACACATCCTAGTTAGCTAGCCTTTTCTTGTGATGCCACCCATACTTAAAACGTATGGGTGGTTTATCAGTTAATTGCTGAAGTTGGAAGATAAGCATAATCTGAATGCATTGTTTTATATGGAAATAATTTCTTGTTATAATGAGATATTGCCGCATCGACTTGGGAATTGGTGATAGAGGTTGTTCTCATGGCGTGTAATGATCCAGTGTTCTGTTGGACTTGTTTAAACCTATCAACTTTACCTTCATGATAAGTCTAAGCAACCTGTTGAAAGTCGGTCTGCGAATGGGTCACGTCAAGTACATGTCAAAATGGCTCGTCGGCTCGGGCTGCCCGTGGCTTGGCCCGGGAAAAGCCCGAGCCGAGTCACGGGCCATTTTCGGACCGGACGAGCCAAGCTTGTAAAAAAAAAAAAAAAAAATTAGAAAACAAAAAAAAAAAAGGAAGAGTTTGAGAAAAAAAAAAAAAAAAGATTATCGAT